CAATTTACTAGGAATTCATGTTCAAAGGATCATCTACCTTCAGAACCAATACCAGCATTTAATTTCATTAGTGATCAACTATAAACAACTGCAAGCATACAAACAGAAACTTGCTACATCTCCTTGTGGGAAATGCAAGCATTTAGACATTGTTATAAATACAACCCTTTGCTGCAAACAAATACCTACCCTTTTCTTGAAGCTGGACCAAAAAAAGCTTTTTGTGCTCTTTTGGCTTTGTAATATGAGCTGGGATATAGGGATACTAGAAAAAAAATGATAAAAATTAGTTGTACAGAGCTTTGAAAATATTGTGCAATCTAAAGTGCTACTTTATAAATTATCAAGCACTGTGCAAGCTTTCAATGTGTCATATATTTTTCTTTCATGGCATCGAATAAAAAAACCCAAAATTTTGTAAGAAAGTACTTAAGCAAAGAGTGCTGTTGCTGTCACAACTAGTGACAGGATCTAAATGGGCACCAATACTCACAAGCAGTTAAAACAACCCAGTAAGACAGAAATGCATAACAGCAAAATGAGCCTCTAGAAATAGGGTAGTGAGACTAATTTATTCACAGGGCATCTGTTCCATAAGCTGCTGCAAGAGTTTCCATTGTGGCTACAAAAGGAATTTCAGTGGTGCATCTGTCTCAGCACAGAACTGGAAGCTATTACATCCAGTGGTTTCTCATCCATCATGACATGTGTGAGGAGGGAAACAGAAGTTTCCAGAAAAAGAGGCTGCAGTTTCTCCCCAGTCACCGAAAGGAGATAAAACAGGTAAAACCCAGAAAAACTAACTGCTCATGCAGCAGGTACTCAAAAAGGCCAACCAGTGGGTTGAAGGCTTTGGAGGTACAATCAGTACTGAAGAAAGAAGACAGAAGCCCACAGGAGTACTCACCTGAGGAGGTTCAAAGTTGGGTCTCCACCAGTTGCCAATGCAGTCATCAATCACCCAGTCCTGCTGAACACCATCCTGGCGACCCAGTATCTACCAAAAATCCAGTAACAATCACAACTCTAACTATCCCAAGTCCATTTTTCTAGAAAACACGTACTGGAAGAACAAAAACTTGTTCTGATATAGTTTAGAACTGTTCTGAGATAGATTTCAATAGAATTGTAGAGTATTTTTGTATAAAGTGGAATTTTTTAGTAAAAGCCTCGTCTGGCAGGACAAGGCCACTTTAGAGAGCATTTCACATTCCATGCTGTATTCAGCTGGCCTGAGTCCTATCTGACCAGTGGGAAGAATGAAATACATTGTTACACTAGCTGGCAGCAGTAATTTAGGCTAATTGGAGGGCATGGAAAGTTACCAGTGCAAGGGGAGGACTATCTCAAAGGCAAGTCCTCACCAGCTGAGCTCCACAACATATTTTATTGCTCATCTGCACATTCACTTGCCTGAAGCCAGCCAGAAAGCAAAGCTGCAAATGAACACAGGACTTGAGCAGCACCAGGAGTCAGCCACGCTCAAGATGCAGACAAATGAAAACTTGACTGCTTATTTGTAACTACCTGAGAACATGACAAAAGCAACAAAATAACAGCAGCGGTAAGGAGACCACTCTAATGTTTTGGCTTAGTCTGGTAATTCTAAGATAATGTAACATTCTGCTATGGAAACATAACAACACAAAACAGACCTCTGTCATTAAGCGTTTGAGCCCTTCCACCTCATCTTCTCCTGGATTGAGTTCACCACCAGGCCTGTTAAAACAACAGTGATGAAAGCTGAAGCTACATTTTATTGCATTTACCAACTTCCACAGGTAAGTTCAGATGTGCTTCCAGGTAGGGAGTTATAAATTCTCTTATGGTCCTTAAGTCAGAAATTCCAAATCTAACTTTGATATTGAAGACAGCAGGATAACTTTCACCAAAACCATGACTGAAAGGGCTACTCGTGTCCCTTATAAAAATAACTATTATATAAAATACTTTCAATTCAGCAGGACAAAGCATAACAATACACATGATAAAGACTGGGACACTTAAAGGGTAAAGTTTTAACAATAATAACCAAAAGCTGAAGAAAATGTTGTAAATACTGCCTGTATTTATTGTTATCTCAAAATCAGCACACGCAGAAGCAAACAGAAAGCAGAAAATAAAACTCCTGTGAGGAACCACCCCACATTTGATGCACAATTAATGAAAAATCTAAAACCACATTTTCATCAATACAGCATTTCACAAGTCTGTCTGTGCACAAACACCCTTCAAATCCAGACGTGAAAAACTAATCTAGATATGAACTGAGACTTCACACATACAGGAAATTGAGAGCAAACAATACAAATGTTAAAAACAAGAGCAAGAACACGAGCAGGGTAACTTGAGACAAGTCAAGACCATCTGGTTTAAAATAGAAAACAAACACCAACCACCATCACCACGACCGCATCCAAACGTTAGAATTTCACTCTGGCACTGATAAATATGAGATGAACTGAAGTGATTTCCTCAAATTTAGATGCCTCCCTTTCTTGCTATCCCAGCTCACCCAGTAGTTTGTAACCAGGTATCATTCTGTATTTACAGGGGGTTAGTTCTTGAACTCCACTTGCCTGTTTTTGCAGGCATAACATAAGCTATGGAAGCATAACAGCTTTCACAATGCAAGTACAACACACCAGCTGCTGACAATGACTTTTAAACAAGATTTTACCATAGTGATGCACTGTAACTAAGATTGCCAGCTGGTTCCAAACTAAGTCACCCCCTCATGAGCAGTCAGACAAACACTTTAGATGAAAACCCCACCAATCAAAAAAAGACTTTCCAGACTAAGCTTTTGTAAGAAATGAATCCCATTCAAAACATCACCCAGCTGGCCACAGTTTAACCTCTAGCCCGCGTGTTTAGTGGTCTGTGACAATAAACTGAAGTTTAAAGTTTAAGAAACACTTACAGCTTGAAAAAAGTTGTCCCCAGCTGCAGCAACAGCACGTGGGGCAGCCTGTGCTCGTGCACAATCAGAACCCCCTCCACCGTCCTCCTCATGCCAATCTTGTCAAACTCCTCCCTCATGCGCTGGAACCGAGCGGCCACGGAACTGTCCTTCTCATACAGGGGCTCCTTGGTGCCAAAGGTGTAATTTGTCAGAGGATACCTGCAAGGGGGCAAAAATTGTAACTGCATAAAGAAACCGAACTTTAAATCCCTCTGACACAGCACCTCCCCTGAGGCAGACCCTTCTGTGCCTGGGGGGTAACTCAGAGTGCAGGGCTGAGATCCTTGCTGGTGGCTCACGGGGCCCTTGCCCCAGAGAGATCTGCTCGAGGAACACACGAGCACAGACAGTCCTGCTGAGCCACACACCAGCCTGCTGCTGGCTCAAAAGAAGGAAAGAAGCCCAGAAGGACCAAATGTTATTCAACAGCCACCCTCTTTGATCTCCATGCCACAGAGAAAAGGCAGCTGAAGCTCCAAGAGAAACTGGAAAAGAGACCGGAGGGAAAAGCTCTGCTGGGAAGGAAGGAAGGAAGCTGCACAGGACTGCAGTTGTTTTCTGCAGATGTAATGAAGGGCCTGAGAACTGAACTGTTAGAAGTGGTTTTGTTTTGAAGTGGGAAATCAGGCATCTGGATGACAGAAGAGGAGAAATGCTGAGTGTCTGAGTGCAGGGTTGAGAGCCTGGGGTAAGATAAAGAGTGTGAGCAGATCCCTCTGTTGAGCTGGTGCTGGGCCTCTGCACTCTTGGGACAGTGCAGTGAAAACTCAGTGATTTCTCCAAGTAAGAGGGACTGAAAACAGTCAGAAAAGAGAAGAAAGGTTAGGCAAGAAATGGCCTAGACTTTAAAAAAAAAAGATGCTGATAACACAGCTTCCAAATGAGTCATTTCTTCAGAAACTCTACAGAAATAGTCCCATCTCTGAAGCTCATATTTGAATTTTCAGAAGACTCTGAATAAATTCAGCTACACTAAAAAATAGAAGTGTTAGTGATGAATAGTTAAAATTGAATATTGACTGCTACAGTTAACATCTGCTAGTTTTTGCAACTTGACAAATGTACTTAGCAAAGAACACGTTCTACGTCCACCAGAACTTTCTGGAAGAAGCTAAAACATATGGCTTCTCAATAAAAAATACGTAAATACTTATTATCAAGTAGTTTGTATCTATGACAGAAGTAAAGTTTTCTCTGGTAGCAACTACTCTTAATTAAACCTCAACACCTGCACCAGACAACCCACAAACACCAGGCACATCCAGCTACATCCTCCTGACTGGGGTCACAGGGCCAGCCCGAGCCCCAGCGAGGCCAAGAAAGCCCGTTTCCCTCTCTGGCGCCTTTCCGGATAATCCGTGAGAGTGTCGGTGACGCTCAACGGGCCCAAACCCTCCCTGTGTTACTCGAGGCTCACACCTCCCGAGCCAGACGCTGTTTCTAAGCACTAAAGCGTTCACTCCCCCGAAGGAGCCCCCGGTACCCCCGGTACCCCCGGTACCGCTCAGCAGCCCCCGCGTGGGGGGAGCCCCAAAGGCACCCGGGCTGTGCCGCCACCCTGCCCTCGGCTCTGGGGGAGGCCGCGACCCTCCGGCCCTCGCAGGGCGGGCGCTGAGCACAAACCCCCCCGGGGCTGCTGAGGGAGCGGGCAGGACGGGGCAGGGGCGGGCAGGCCCGAGGCGGCGCTCACAGGTTGATGGTTCTCTCCAGCGTGAGCGGCTTCGTCTGCTGGATGTACTTGTTGCCGAACTGGTTGACCCCGCGGGGCCAGCCGGTCTGCGAGCGGTTGGGCGGCACCACGGACATGGCGGGAGGCGGCGGGAGCGACGGGTCAGCGCTGGGCGGTGGGAGCCGCGTCCGCCATTAACGCCCGCCTGGCCCCGAACGCCGCGCGCCGCCTGCCGGGACCGCGCCCCGCCCTCCCCTACTCGCCCATTGGCCGGCGACACCCCGCCCCGCCTCCCGAGCCATCCGATTGGCCGCCGGGGGCGCAGCGCGAGGGCCGCCGGGAGTTGCAGTCAGGCCGGGCGGCGTCATGGCCGCCAAGCGCCGCGGAGCGGGCGCGCCGCCGGGGGCGAAGCGCGGGAAGCGGGAGGCGCGCGCCGAGCTGTGCGCGGCCCTCGGGGACGCGGCGCTGCGGGAGCGCGCGGGGGCGGCCTGGGCCCGCGGGGAGCGGCTGCGGAACGGTACGGCACGGTATGGCCTGGTACGGCACGGTATGGCCTGGTACGGCACGGTATGGCCTGGTACGGCACGGTATGGCCTGGTACGGCACGGTATGGCCTGGTACGGCACGGTACGGCCTGGTATGGCCTGGTATGGCCTGGTACGGCACGGTATGGCCTGGTACGGCACGGTGTGGCCTGGTACGGCCCGGCGTGGCCTGGTACGGCACGGCGTGGCCTGGTACGGCACGGCGTGGCCTGGTACGGCCCGGCCGGGCCCGCGGGGAGCGGTGCGGCACGGTACGGCCCGGCCCGGCTCCCCGGCCCTCACCGGCGGCCTTTCCCTGGCAGAGGCGGCGGCGCTGGAGCCGGCCCCGTTCCGGCACGCCGTCATCCCCGGGTTCCTGGCGGGCGCGGCCTTCGCGGAGGCGCTGCGGGACGAGCTGCTGGGCCTCGGCTTCCACGGGCGGCACAACGACCTCCTCTCGCTGCGGCAGGTGGGCCCCGGGCCGGGCCGGGCCGTGCTGTGCTGTGCTGAGCCGCCCTAACCCCCGTCCCTTCTTCTCTTCCATGGGCCGCCGCAGTCCGAGGAGCTGGGGGCAAGCCCGGAGCCCCACATCGCCGCGCTGAGGTAAAGGATACACTGTGACCCGCAGCAACAGCACCTGTAACTCTTTAAATAGTTGGGAGACGATAAATTAGTTTATGGTGATATGGATGCTTTATAACACAGGAGGACATGTACCCTGTGCTTGTCTTCTCAGGAATGCTCTCTCTGAAGAATTCCGACCATGGCTTTCTGCTGTGACCCAGATAGAGCTGGAGCCAACTATTGACATCTCTTGTGCTAAATATGAGTATACTGGTCAGTATATAAGTGGTCCTTTCCCTAAAGCTTCTGTGCACATGTAGGAAGCAAAATGTCTATGGAATATCTAGTTTTATAACCCATCCCAACCCTTTTCTAGTTCCAGAGGGTCCCAGAAGCAGCAAATCAAAATCTCAGAAAACAAAGTACAAATGATGGAAAAACTATTGCTGTAGTTCTGATGCTGGTGGCTTTAACTGGGCCTGGTGTTGTTGCAAGTCCCCACCTTTTCAGAGATGTTCAGCCTGTGTTTATGTGGCTGCTTCCATGCAAAAGGGTGACATGTTCATCTTCCAAATGCTGCAGTTGAGTTTGTGAATTCTAATGGCAAAATGTCACTTGGTGACTCCAGGTTTCAGCTGTGCCTGTGCTTTCAGTCATGAAAAGTCACTGTAGGAAGGGGGAATTTTTTACTGCAATCAGTGTCTTTTTTGCACAATCAGTTGCTGGTCCAGCTTTTCTGTTCCCAGGATTCCCCCTCCCCTCTATTCCAGCACCAAACCTACTCCATTCAGAAGTCAGAGCTGGAATCATTGTTTAGGTTGGGGATCTCTGTCCCCTGTGCCCAGTGGCAGCCAGGAAGGGGTGGGTGATAAGGTTTGACTGCTTGTACCTTCAGAGGGGGCTCATCTGCCAGCTGCAGTGCAGTCCCACAGGAGGTAACCCTGCAGATCTCGGGATGGTGATGCAGTGAAAATGCAGTTCCTGGGAGGAACGTGTTTCTTCTTGTTGTGCCCTCGTGGGGCCCAAGCTGGGAAGCAGTGGTTGGAATGAATCACGTGTGTGCTGGAAAGATGCTGCAGCAGCAACAGGTGTGTGATTGCAGATGTGTTGCTGTGCCACGATGACGAGCTGGAAGGTCGGAGAATCGCCTTCATCCTGTACCTCGTCCCAGCCTGGGAGAGCAGTGACGGGGGAACCCTGGACCTGTTCAGCACAGACGGTGAGAGCTCGGCCTCAGGGGGGTGGAAAACACGGAGCTCACGTGCAGCTTGCTGCAGCTCTCCCCTCAAACAGTAGCAGGGAGATAAAGAGTGTCTCCTTTGTCCACAAAAGTGGATGTGTAGGTAAAATTCACACCTTTAGGGATGGGCTGTAGTGGGGTTTACAGACAATGAGCAACAGCAGACAAAGAAACAGCCTTTTATTCTGTTCTTTTGGAAGGGCTGAGAGTGATGGCAAGTTGGAAGCAATGCCAGTAACTGTGCTTGGAACTCCAGATTGATGGCAGTAATGTCCCTTTCCAGCAACAGAGCCACAGAATGGTTTGGGTTGGAAGGAATCTTAAAGATCATCTAGTTCCAGCCCCCTGCTGTGGACAGGTGCACCTTCCACTATCCCAGGTTGCTCCAAGCCCTGTGCAACCTGGCCTTGAACAGTTCCAGGGATGGGGCAGCCACAGCTTCTCTGGGCAACCTGTAAAGAATTTCTTCCTCACATCCAATCTAACCCTGCCCTCTGTCAGTTTGAAGCCATTACTCTTTGTCCTGTCACTCCATGCCCTTGTCCAAAGTCCCTTCCCAGCTCTTTTGCAGCCCCTTTAGGCACCAAAAGGGGCTCTAAGGTCTCCCTGGAGCCTTCTGTTCTCCAGGCTGAACAGCTCCAACTTTCTCTGCCTGTCTCCATAGCAGTGCACTGATTCCTCACCAAGCCTCTGCTCTGAGCTCCCTCCATCCCTTATACCCAGGTGTCCTACCAGTCACTGTCATGAAGTGAGAGAGAAATAGCAGTTTCTAGCAAGTTCCAGTTCAATATCTTAACCAGAGTATGTTTTCTTCCTCCTCAGAACACCTTCAGCCACAGCACATCACCAAGTCATTAGTACCTTCGTGGAACACGCTGGTTTTCTTTGAAGTGTCTCCAGTCTCTTTCCACCAGGCAAGGAGCTGTCTCTTGTTCATTTTTTGATTCTCATTGTTGTGGTTGTTCCCTCTGTGTGTTATTACAATCCTGATGGGGAGGGAGAAGAACTGTGGCTAGAGCAGATACTCACACTTAGTGCTGTGTGCCAAAGGCAGGGTTTCAGGGACTTTAAGGAGGACAAGAACTGACAAAGCCAACATTAAACTATCAGTCTAGCTTCATCAGCCTGGGAAAGGAAAACTTTTGTTTTGTGTTGCTATCCTGGCAAGCCCCTGCTGTGAATTTGGCTAGGGCTTGTTTTTGTTTGTTGGCTTGTTTTAAACTAGCTCACATTTTTCATGAGGGGCTCCTGAGCCCACCCCTTGCCAACAGGGGCATCATTTGTGCTTTCTCTTCACACTACTGTTACAGCACCTTAGAGTGTGAAATTGTTCCATTTAGCCCAAGCTCTGCACAATTTCATGAAATCAAGATTTAACAGTGACCATCACTGTGGGAAAACTAAGGGTTTCCAGAGGCCAGGGTAAATGCCAGGATAGAGGGTCTGCTCTTAGTCTGACAAATAAGCAAAGAACCTTCATGCTGGCTTGTATTACAGCATTTTTTAAAAAGTAAAGGACAAAAAAGCAGAGCAGTGTAGCCTGCCAAGGCCCACGGGTGCTCCGTGTTGTCTGACCTTCCAGACTGAGTGTGACAGCTGATTTTTGCAGTCCTTTATGGTCCTTCAACAGCATAAATGGTAGAAAAATGAAATGCAATTACTTTATAACAGAATGACAAAGCTCTCAGAGAGAGCTCTGCTGTGAGCTTGGAGTAAAATCTTAGACTGGAACTCTGGAAACACACAATGGACTTGAGCATCAAAGTTTGCTTTAGGCCTCTCTGATAATCCCACCTGGTCTAGCCCTGTCTGACTTTTCCTTGTATGCAAGTGGGCTCTCTGCAGTCAGGTCCATCTCCTGTTGTGAGTGTACAGGGTGCCTGTCACCCCTGGTCCCAGCAGTGCTGTCCCCCAGCAGTGCTGTCCCCCAGCAGTGCTGTC